AGTGCTTTATTTGTTGATTGATTTTATATTTTATTGGCCCTCTCTGAGTTGTTCGTCGTTGATAGAGAGAGAAGGGGGAGAGAGAGGGATGACTATATAAGGATCAAATCAGGACCGTCGGATCAAAAAACTAATCTAACGGCGAGATTGATTGGTAGTAACATTGGTTGTAACTTTACTTGGTTGTCACAATATACTATCCCTTAAAAAAAGTTTTTATAGTTTCATCTAGATTATTGTCTATATATAGAAAAATCTATCTATGTTTTCTATAGTTAGACTGTAATTATAAGAAAAAAAATGTGTTGACGGGTTAACCCACCCGTTTAGTGGGCGGGGTGGATCGGCCCTCCGGGCAGAACCCACTTTGTTACATCTGACTATCAGTATTTTACATAAGCATATAATAGATTTTTATATATTCATAAAAAAAGGTTCTTATAGTTGTGTCTAAATTACTATCTATCTATGTTTTCCATAATTAGACAGTAATATAAGAAGAAAAAATGTGTTGACGAGCGGGATGGGACGACCCTTCTGGTTAAGCGCATTTTGCCACCTCTTATCAGCATTTTGTATAAGCATGTAATAACATTAAATATTACTACTTTTTTCAAACGATTATGAGTTAAAAATTAGAAGTTATTTTTTATACTTTTTAGAAAATATTAAAGCTACTTTTTTTAGGTAGAGAAATTAATTAATCCTAATAGGTATAATAATTAAGTTCAATGACATAATATTAATAAATATTATATAACTGTGTTTTCAAATTAAAATTATTTTTTATCAATTATTAATATATTTTTATAATTTTAATTTTTCGTTTATTATATAATTTTTATTAAAATTAAATTTATTATATTTTTTTTCAGTTTTATAATTAATCCTAATAGGTATTATAATTAAGTCCAACAGATAAAACAATAAATATTATTCATATGCTTAACAATTTTTCATGCAGAAAGTAGTGAGAAACATTAAATGTTGAACTCTTTTTTCACTTATCAAGTTTAAAATTTAAATTTAAAAAATTTAAAATTTAAAAAATTTAAAATTTAAAAAATTTAAAATTTAAAAATTAAATAATTCCTCAACAAATATACATAATAATAAATATTATTAATAGGCGTAACAATTTTTCATACAGAAAGTAGTGGAAAACATACATAGAAGGCTGCACATTCTTCAACTAATAGCTTCTAGTTATTCATTCACGACATAAGAAATTGTGTTAATTATACTCTTACATCCAAAGAATGAAAGTTCAATTTCTTTCTTATATATTAAATTAAAAGTTACATTTTATAGTGATTAAATTTTTATAATTAGTTTTTTATAGAATGATAAATGTCAATTTTAAATTTTTTATTTAAGTTTAAAACTTAAATTATTTTTTTTTTTTTGCTATGCAAATTCTTTTTTTTAATTATACATATTTAAAAAAAAAGATAATTCTTTTCTTTTTTAATTTATAATATATATTAAATTGGTTATACATATATATTTAAAATATTTATGTTAATTTTAAAAAAAAATTGTATGGAAAACTATCTTCTTTTGTATTATTTTTTAAGTTAAATTTTTGAATTTATTTTCTTTTAAAGTATAAATATGTCATTTGTTATTTTTCAATTAAATTTCAAATTTAAATTATTTTTTATCAATTATACAAATATTTTTATAATTTTAAATATGTTTTTGTTTAATCCATAATTTAATATTAAATTTAATTTTATTATATATACCAATTTTATAATTAATCCTAATAGGTATAATAATTACGCCCAATAGACATAATAATCAATATTATTAATGAGCTTAACAATTTCAGGTGCAGAAAATAGTTGTATTATTAATATACTTAACCATTACAGATGCATAAAATAATGTGATATTAATACAGTTGTCTGCCTCCGAAGAATGTTGAACTCGTTTCCCATAGATTCTTCGAATATGAATGATAAGTCAGTGGGGGTAAATATAAGTAAGGGTTTTGATATTATAGATCATTTATTGATGCTTGGATCTTGCTTGCTCCGAAGATATGATTTACAGCTAACATGGCCAATTGATACCTGTTAGCTTTTAATTAAGGGAAAAATGTTTCTGCAGTTAATGCAGATAACTTATCTGCATTTATTCCCAAAACGACGTCGTTTTGGTATTGAAATTTTTAAAAATTATAAATATAAAGACTATTATAACCCTGAAATAAATTAAAATTACAAAAATACCATGATTTCCGTCCCAAAACGACGTCGTATTGACTTAAGTAACTGCAGAAAAAATGAACCCTTTAATTAAACTTAAATTAATAACTTAACTTCATGATAATTGGGCTGATATAGCACAAATTGCAGGTGAAAAGTGGGCCAATGTCTAAGAAAACAATCCATGATGGTAAAGTGGTAAAAAATTGGAATTAAGTAATTTTACTCACAATTTTTTTATCACTTGTTTGCAGTGAAAAAGACACATGGATCAACTCTTGGAAAATGAGAACAAATCTATACCATTGGATTAAGCTTTGATGGATGGCACAACTAGCACTTAGGATATATTTCTTTAGTTTTTTTTAGTTAGTGGATATATTAGTTATGTACAGAAGAAAGAGACGAGATTTAGATTTTGGAAGTCTTCGTTATTGCTTTTGAAAAGATTCTGAGTACTGTGGGAGTTTTTGAAAGCTGAGTGCATATGTTCTTCCAATTCTTGACTTCGAAGAATGCTGACAACAAAGCTTCGTGGGAGGAATCAAGGACCTAGCTGCATGCAAGCTTGGATCTGCATTTTATAATTAGTTCTAATTTTTAGAACCTTTGTTAATTCTGGATAATTGGTTTGTACCTTTACCCTTGTTCTTCTTATTTTGGTAATTCTTGTAGAAGTAATTTCATAACCTTTGGTTTGTTATTTTTTTTGGGTAACCCAAGGGTGTCCCCACTCCTTCGGGGTGGAACTAATCTCTTTCGCGGATTGATGGGAATGATTAATAAGCTTTCTCTGCTACCCAAGAAGTGTGTCTCGCAGGATTCAAACCCCAAGCCCTTTAGACTCACGAGCCCGACTTCTGGAACCCAGCCCCCACACCAGTTGAGCTACACCTCTTGGGTTATCTTAAGTTTGTTCCTTGTTAATATGGCTAGCTAATTTCCTCTTTTATAGAATTCAAGATGAGTGGACAACCTCTCTTTTTATAGAACAATGTTATGCATCTTTTTATTTCATTTGATTAGCAATTCTCTTAGCTTCAAGAAATCTTGAGAAAGATTCTTGAACATTCTTGCATGAACTATGATTGAGAAATCAAGTGAATGCATTCTTGCTAATTGAAACCTTTAGGTTAGGGATAACCAGAGGTGAAATTGACATTTTTGTATAAAGAATCAGAAGACTTTCGGAAAAGACCCTTTTGAGGAACAATTATGGAACTGGGAAGTTCCAGATAAACGTGCTTTAGTCGTTCAAATTTTGTGATAAAAGTGCCTTAGTAGTGGAAAAATGCAGGAATGCGAATTGCTTTAGGAAAGTTCATAAATTGAGAATTCCAAAATTTTGTAATTGTTGTTCCAATATATATCTCACTAATTCTGTTAATACAAATCTGAATCCAAATTAGCATCTTTTAGTCTTTTCTTTGTTTGAAAGATTGGTCACTTAAAACTCAAGAATTTAAGAATAGAACCAAGAAAGGAAACTAAAACAACCATTCCTAGAGAACGATTCTAATCTTCGGATTTTACTACCCAACAATACCATGTCTGGGACATTATAAGAGCATCATGGGAACTCGATCTACTTTAACTGTTGTTTCATTAATTTGTGAGCAACTCTTCTCTTTCTTCTTTCAAATGCTGACGTTCAAAGCAAACAAACACAGTGACATAAATTGCTTAAAATTCAGTTTCTTAGACATATTTAATGGTATTCAACAAATTTGAAATAAAATTTTTAGCATTTGATTTACATTTTTATTTAAGGTTATATATTATTACTATTATTTTTATTGTTTTTTTTTTGGAAATTATTATTATTATTGTTATTAACTGGTTAAGTGTGAAAAAAAATTCTGGTTCATGGGGTTTAAAGCAAACACGTGATATTTTTGTTCTTTAGTGGCTTCTCTCTTCTAGCAATAATATTACTCTCTATAATTTTTACTTATTGAAACATTAAATTATGAGGGTTTAGAATGCAAATGAATAAAAATTTGTAAAGACCAAAACTATATATATATATATATATATATATATATATATATATATATATAATAAAAATAAGATGATGAAAATATGTATTAAAAAAAGAAAATATTGGTTTACGGAAAAAAAATTGTACATAATTTTTTATATCGTGCCAAATAGCAACGATATATATATATATATATATATATATATATATATATATATATATATATGAAAAATTATTTCTATAGCTACTTTAGATTAGGTTATCTACAGCTATCCCAAAAACTCGTCGTTTTGATTAATAAAGGATATTTCTGTAATTTTAGGTGAATTAATAAAGAGTGTTTCAATAAAATGTATATGATAAAAAAATATAAAAAATTACGGAAACACCCTTCATTAATTCACCTAAAATTAATAAACACCCTTCATTAATCAAAATGACGTAGTTTTTGAGTAGCTGTATATAACCTTATCTAAAGTGGTTGTAGAAATATTTATCCCATATATATATATATATATATATATATATATATATATATATATATATATATATATATATATATATATTAAACAGGTCGCGGATATGATTTGAATTGATTCGCATTTTCATTTATCGTGACAAATACTAAATAAATTCATTTAACCCCAAAACAAACACATTGTAACGTAGTGCCCTACATGTAAAAATGCATGTTTTATTTTCTTATCTTCATAATTAATAGTATTCGCTGATTATGTACACAGAATTGGAGAAAAAGATTTGCAAAAAAGAAACAGATCTTGCATGATGCACCTATGATCACTATTTTACAGAACTTCTAGCCGCATGTTACACATGGTGCAGTAGTATCTGCGCTTGATCTTATAGCACAATGGTAGAAAACAAAACCTCTAATGGATCTCTACGTCAATGGTTTGCACCATCCCTCTACAGTAACGACACAAGTCTGGTGCGGGTTGCCTCGCCACCACCCTTTCATCTTCGTCGCACACAAACACCAAACACATCTCCTACAAACACAATCAACTCATGCTTACTTCTTCCAAGGACTTTTTACAGCACAACATCTTCATTAGTCACAGATTTCTTTTGTCTAGCAAGGTGTCTCTGACTTCAACATCAAAACTAATTCAAAAAAAAAACTTGCTGTTGTCAGTATACTATATTAACGTTGAATAGAGAAATAATATAAATAATTCACCCAATAAAGTACAAAACAATAAACATGGAATATGAACAAACATGAAGTAGAAAACTTAAACACACATATAATGGGTAAGATTATCCAGAAGAACAGCTAGAGAAGATGAAGCACATAAACAGACAAAAATAGAAGAAATATGTGCACAGAAGCTTATTACCAATGAAAAATATGCACTAACACATATCCTATTTATACACAAATTAAGGAGGTTTTTTAAACTCATTTTTTGTATACCCAAAAAATAATTAATCCTAATAAACATAATAATAAATATTATTAATAGGTTTAAAAATTTTCTATGCAGAAAATAGTGATATTATTAATAGGCTTAACCATTACCCATGCAAAAGTGGTGGGATATTAATACAGATATTTGCCACCAATCTCTTTCCAACTATTTTCCCACCTATGTAGCTTAAAATTCGAATTTTAAAAAGTTGCTAAAAGAAGAAACATTTCAAATTGGTTTCATGTGTGAACACAAAGCTGAAATTGAAGGAGAGAACGACATGTCAGCAAAGTTTTCATGGGTGGGATATTAAGATACTATATATTATGATATTTTTAGTTGTTTGATGTGATCATCGTATAATATAAGCTTATATAGTAGGATGCTTTTATACATCAAAATGATATATAACTTAATCATACCTAGGGGGTGAGATTAGACCTGATAAATGATTAATGTATTAATCAGTGCAATTCTCAAAAGTAATATATTATTTTAATATTAATATATTAAAATAAAAGATAATTTTTCAGTATATAATTCTTTAAAATATTGGATATTTTTATTTTTATAAAAAATAATATATTTTTTGGACACATTGATCAATAGATTTCTATAAAATTAATATCCTATGATATATTTGGAAGAATTATATAAATTCTTTATTAAAAGGTATTTTTGTCAAAAATATTTATTTTTATTTTATTTTATCTAGTATTATACCGTGCATTACTAAGCACTGGATGATATTATCTTGTACAATATTATGTCAAACACTAGATTGTATTAAAATTTAATCAGATATTATATAATCAAGCCTTATACTATCAAATCTTAGAAAAAAGGAAAACTTAGTTCTCAGTGCATTGGAATTTTTAGAATAAAAATAGCCACAAATTTCAGCCCAAACAACTGTTTTGAGAGCTAACCAAAATTGTGACTAGCTCCTCAGAACCATCATCGTGTTTATAGAAGTTAAAAGTAGCTCAATAAGCATAACACTGAGTTAAAAACACAAATAGCTAAGCTACATACCATACTACATATGTAAAAGACATTATAAGATGATTTTAAAATAATTAAAACTTGAGTTCCTTATTATAAATATCAAACCAGTCTATATATAAACAAATTTTTTCAAAATATATTAACTTGAAATATAAAGTTTTCAATTAAAAAATTAAAATGATTTTTTTTTAATATAAAAAATGCATGTTACAGTGAATGCAAATTGACTAATTCATAACTCTGAACATTAGACTTCTTTCTAAGTTAATGGGTTGCTTCCTCTAGCATCAAAACCTGGACAATGTTCAACCTCACCACCTTTCTGCAACTCCAAATGAAAGAAGGCATAAATACAAACACCTTATAGTCAAAAAAGAAAGAGGGAACCATTAAAGAAAAGCAGCGATTTTTACATCTTGGAGAGCTTGTTGGGAGTACCGCCTATGACCTTAGCAACGTAGAGCAAGGCAAATTCGATTTACCACAACGGTACAGCGGTGTTCCTTAGCAAAGGCGTTCGGGTGCAAATCTTGTTGGGTTTTAAACTTTATTTAGAATAAATGAAAATAGAAAATGAAGAGTTTGTGGTGAAGGGTTAAGAATTTGTTAGTGGACATTAATGAGTTTAATGTTTTTAAGAAGTAGTCATTATTATGTTTGGATTTCCTAAGTTGGTCATTAGTATTCATAATCATTTGCTATTGTTTATAAATAGCTCATTGTAAATCTTGTAAAGTGGCTTGGTAGAATCAGTAATTCAAAGAGGTATATTCAGAGACTTGTTTGTGCGTTCGAGTGTTGGAGAGAAACACCAGTATAGGACCTCTGAATTACAAAGAGGTATCAGAGCTATGGAGAGTGTGACCACTTCCAGTATGCCATTTCCCCGCCTGACAAAGGCGAATTATGTGAATTGGAACATTCAGATGAAGGCGTTGCTCGGATCCCAAGATACTTGGGATGTTATTCATGATGGTTTTGCTGAACCTGCAACTACCGCAGGATACTCAGCAGCTCAAACCAAGGCGTTGAAAGAGACGCGTGCGAAGGACAATGCGGCCTTATACATGTTATTCCGAGCTGTAGATGAGTCCGGATTTGAGAAGATTGCAAGTGCGACGACGTCAAAGGAAGCGTGGGACATCTTGGAGAATGTCTATAAAGGAGCTGACTGAGTTAAGCAGGTCCGACTTCAGAATCTGCGTGGCGAGTTGGAAAGAATGAAGATGAAAGATTCAGAGGGTGTATCCGAGTTCATCACCCGAGTTCAAGCCGTGGTGAATAAGTTAAAGCAGAATGGTGAGGAATTATCTGAGACTAGAGTTGTTGAAAAGATTATGAGGTCGCTGACAGACGACTTCAAAAACGTGGTATGTGCAATTGAGGAGTCTAAGGACTTGGCTATGCTCTCTGTTGAAGAGCTAGTGGGTTCTCTTGAGGCGCATGAACAACGCAAGAAAAAGAAGAAGGAAGAGACACTGGAGCAAGCACTCCAGTCAAAAGCAAATATCAAGGAAGAGAAGGCGCTGTATTCTTAGAACGTCCGAGGTAGAGGTCATGGCCGAGCTGGACGTGGAAATGGCCGAGGTGGTCGTGGCCGAGGTCATGAGATGAGAAATGAAGAAAAAACTGAGCTGAGTCAGCAAAACTGGAGAGGTAGAGGATGTGGCCGAGGTGGAAGAGGCCGGTGGTCGAATCAAAATAATGTAGAATGTCATAAGTGTGGGAAGTTTGGTTACTACGCAAGAGATTGCAACTCGGACAGGTGCTACAACTGTGGCCGAGTTGGGCATTTCGCGAAGGATTGCCGAGATGAAAGGAGAGTTGACGGGACGTCAAACTTTGCTGCAGAAGGAGAGATAAGAGATGAAGGAGTTTTGATGTTAGCACATGGTGAAATGAGTTCGAAGAGTGAGACAGAGTGGTACTTGGATACTGGTGCCAGTAATCACATGTGTGGTTACAAACATCTGTTCAAGGAGTTGAAAACGGTGGAAGCCGGACATGTCTCTTTTGGAGACGCGTCCAAAATTGATGTAAAAGGTCGAGGTACGATCTGTTTCTTGCAAAAGGATGGACGAGTTGCTACAATTCGGGACGTGTATTACGTGCCCGAGCTCAAAAGCAATATTCTGAGCATTGGACAGTTGATGGAAAAGGGCTACTCGGTTCTAATGAAAGACCGAGTTCTACTACTGAAAGACAAACAAGGGTGTTTGATAGCCCGAGTTCAGATGGAGAAAACCAGAATGTACAAGTTGAGTTTGAGGAGCACGGAGGTCGGCTGTCTGCAAGCCGGGGTAGAAGATAAGATGGATTTGTGGCATCGACGGTTTGGACACCTTCACTACGGTGGTCTGACCGAGATGATGAAGAAAAACATGGTAGTGGGACTACCAAAGATTAACTCTGAAGGAAAATTTTGTAAGGACTGCGTATTGGGAAAACATGCGAGGAGCCCGTTCCAAAAGATGGTGAGATACCGAGCTAGGCAGCCTCTGGATTTGATACATACCGACCTGTGTGGACCCATTACTCCGGGGTCCTTCAGTGGTAAGAAGTATTTTGTAACTTTTATTGATGATTTCAGTCGAAAGACTTGGGTGTATTTTTTGAAGGAAAAATCCGAGGTGCTAGAGGCATTTAGGAGTTTTAAAGTAATGATAGAGAATGGTACTGGGAGGTACATCAAATCGGTCCGTTCAGACCAAGGTGGGGAGTACGTGTCAACAACTTTCAAGAAGTATTGTGAAGAACATGGGATAAGGCGGTTCCTGATCGCTCCGTACTCGCCCAACAAAATAGAGTAGCTGAGAGGAAGAATCGGAATATCCTGGATATGGTGTGATCTATGTTGAAAACGAAGAACATGCCGAAAGAGTTCTGGGGAGAGGCCGTACAATGTGCAGTGTACGTGCAGAACCGACGTCCGCACTCAAGTGTGAATGATAAAACTCCACAAGAAGCATGGAGCGGTCTAAAGCCATCAGTGGCTCATTTCAAGATTTTTGGTAGTGTTGCATATGCACACATACCGGATCAGTTGAGAACGAAACTTGAAGATAAGAGTAAGAAGTTTGTATTCATTGGTTATGATGAGAAGACAAAGGGGTACAAGTTGTTGGATCCCGTCAATAAAAAGGTGTTGATAAGCCGATATGTGAAGGTGAATGAAGAAGATGCTTGGGACTGGGGTTGTCCATCCGGGGTGAATGTTGAACCCGGGAAAATGACAAGCTCCCTTTCCCCCTTACATCTTCCATATTGGGACTTCATCTGCCTCACAAATACGCATGTCAAATGCATTAATTTTGCGTTCGGGAATTCTATTTTTGTCCTGTAAATTAAGCTTCACTGAAGGTCGTCGACTGATCTTTGGACGCAGACGAAATAGAAATTATGGTTTGTTGAGCGTTAGTTTTAGTGATATATTTTGCACTATGGTAGAAATTTTGTTTTATGTAATTGCAAATTGGTCCTAAGTTGTAAACGAGGATATAAGTAACATTTTTCTTAATTAATGCCATTACTTTGTCATCCATGTTATGGTGATTTTGGTGATTTGGAGAAGTTTGGATTGATTGCTGTCATCTCGAACATGATATATTTAATTTAAGAGCATGCATTTGGAGGTTTTATTTTCAATTCATTTTCAAGTTAATATATATATATATATATATTAAATTCAACTTACCTTGTTGAAGAAAAAGTTATTTTTTTTAAAAAATAAGTTAATTTAAACAATCTTAATATTTAAGGGTTTAGTGTTTAGTGTTTGTCTTTTTAAAGGATATGAAGTTATGTCATTTTAAGTGAGAGAAAGATATAAGTAATTGAAATTATGGGAGAGAGAGTGAATTTTTTTTTTAAAATTTAAATAAAAAAATATTAGATTATATTTTTATCTCTTTTAAAATAATATAATTATATCTTTCAAAAAGATAAATATTTTTTTCAATATTTAAATGGTCAAACAATCTTTTAACTCATAAGGACCTCTGATCCAATGAATCGTAGGCCGAAGCTTTAAACAGCCTGGCCACTACCATTATCATAGATGGACAACGTTAGATTTCAAGTTGCTGTTATATATTAGTCTCTATATTGACGAATCTCGAATCCATCAATGGTGAATCTTGGAAGCATTTGATTGTTTTTTTTTTAAGCAAAAAGCATTTGATTGTTGTTCAAAAAACACGGGAAAAATCTTTGAATTACGTACATAATGAATATGTTAATCCTTTTTTTTATAAGAAGATTATACGCACAATTTATTTTCGTTTATAACCTCTCATAACTATATTTTAACAGATTTTCGCCAATCAACAATTGTCATTTATTGCGAATTAATAAATTTGATTTCTGAAAATAATAATCTTTAATTGATGGAAATTAACGGTTAAAATATAATTGTAAGAGATTATAAATAAAAATAGGTTATATGTATAATCTTTCTCTTCTTTTTTTAATCTTTTCTTATTTTTTGCGGCTTGTTTCTGATTTGGTTGATAAAAGTAAATTATGTCAAAACATTATGTTAGAAGTCAAGAATAATTTCTAAAATGAATTTTCTCATCTTCTTGAGTTCATCATATATTTCAGCTGATATTATGAGATCATGCTTCTCAACAGAAAATTGAAAATGAAATTAATAGTAAATAACAATAATAATAGCATAGGTTGTAAAGTTTATATTATATGCTGGAGATTCCAAAGCATAGAATAGTGTAACAATATTATTTACGATAAAACCATTGAACCGGCACCACCTACGACAAACATAGTATAAACCTATAAACCAAACGTGGTATTAGGTATCCTCATCTTCAGGGGGAGAATCTTTCACCAGAAATCTCATCACCTCCCTTCTTTGAGTTTGAATCTTCAGTGTCTACTACTTTACCTGTGTCTACTCCTTTACCTGTGTCAATGTATCCTCCTCTTGGTCCTGTTCCTCCTGTGTCTGTTTTTCCTGTGTCTGATCCTCCTGTGAGTAATCCTTCTGTGACTGATCCTCCTGTGAGTAATCCTCCTGTGACTGATCCTCCTGTGATTGATTCCTCAAGTACACCAGAGATACGAAAGATTATGACACATGAGTTGGTATATCAAAGAAGGAAACAGCCCACATTGCCTCAGCAGCAACCTTAATCGTCTGAACCACTGGTAAGTCCTGAATCTCATATTTCTGATCATGATGTTAATACTTCTGATGACTTATCCATTACTACTGATTCTGATGATTTACCCATTGCTCTTAGAAAAGGAAAAAGAGCTTGTCCCAAGAAATCTTGTCCATCCTGTCCCTCTTATACTCAATACCCTATCTCCCATTTTGTTTCCTCTGCTAATCTTTCTGTGCAGCACAAAAGCTTTGTTTCAGAACTAGACTCTATTGCAATCCCAAAATCAGTACATGAAGCCTTGAAAGATGGGAATTGGGCTCAAGCCATGCAAGAGGAAATGAATGCGTTGGAGAAAAATAAAACATGGGAGGTTATTGATAGACCTAATGGAAAGAAAGCAGTAAGGTGCAGATGGATTTATGCCCTTAAATATAATTCTGATGGAACTCTTGAGAGATACAAGGCTCGATTAGTTGCCAAAGGTTACACTCAAACCTATGGCATTGATTATGAAGAAACATTTGCTCCAGTTGCAAAGATGGATACGGTGAGAGTCTTGTTATCCCTTGCTGCCCATTACAATTGGGATATAAATCAATTTGATGTGAAAAATGTTTTCCTCAATGGTGAGTTAGAAGAAGAAGTCTACATGGAAATCCCGCCTGGTTTTGATTCTGTGAAGGGAGAAAATAAAGTTTGTAGATTAAAAAAGGCCTTGTATGGATTGAAGCAGTCACCTCGTGCCTGGTTTGGAAGGTTTACTAAGGTTATGATGACCTTAGGATACAGACAGAGTCAAGGAGATCACACTCTTTTCTTCAAGCACTCCCATAATGGGAAGCTTACTGTGCTCCTTGTATATGTTGATGATATTATTATCAGAGGTGATGATTTTGTGGAGAAACAGATTCTGCAAACACGGCTTGCCTCTGAGTTTGAAGTCAAAGACCTTGGGAAACTGAGATATTTCCTAGGGATAGAGTAGCTCATTCAAGGAAAGGAATTTTTATTAGCCAGAGGAAATATGTTCTTGATCTTCTCAAAGAAGCAGGAAAGCTCGGGTGTAAACCCTCTAATACTCCTATTGAGCAGAATCACAAGATAGGCTATGAAGAAGAGAGTCCTCCAGTTGATAAAGGACAATATCAACGGCTAGTTGGGAAATTGATATATCTGGCTCATACTAGACCAGACCTAGCTTATGTTGTTAGTGTTGTCAGTCAGTTTATGCACGATCCAAAGGAGAAACACATGCAGGAAGTAGAGAGAATTCTGCAGTATCTTAAAGCTACTCCTGATAAAGAATTGTTATTCCGACGTGATGGCAATCTCTCTTTAGAAGTTTACACTGATGCTGATTATGCTAGATCCGTGACTGGTAGAGAATTCTGCAGTATCTTAAAGCTACTCCTGGTGAGGACTGTTATACAATATTTTTTTAATGTTTTTTTGTATTTTTAATGCAGCATTAATAGAGCTAACAATTATCCATGCAAAAAATAGTGGGATATATAACAAAAGAAAAGTAGAGGTCTTTTTTACTCATAATATACGACAAAAGAAAAGTAGTGGGACATTAAATGAGTTGTCTGTCACAAAAAATTTTCCAAAAGTTTTCCCACCATTACAAAGTTAAAAATTCAAATTCAAAATTCAAATTTAAACATAAATTCAAATTTTAGAAGAGTTGAGGTATTATTAATTTGGAAATTCCAATGTAGAATGCAGTGGGACATTGAATGAGTTGTCTGCCACAAAAAATTATTCACATAATTTTTCATTTAATTTATTTCCAAATCTTGAAATTTTTTTACAATATAAATAATTTTTTTATTTTACAATATTTTTTTAATGTTTTTGTTTTTTTATGCAACATTAATAGGGCTAACAATTACCCATAAAGAAATAGTGAGATATACAACAAAAGAAAAGTAAAAGTATTTTTTACTCATAATATACAACAACAAAAAAGTAGTGGGACATTAAATGAGTATACTAATAATAAAAATTTTCCAAAAGTTTTCCAACCATTACAAAGTTAAAAATTCAAATTTAAACATAAATTCGAAATTTAGAAGAGTTGAGTTATTATTAATTTCGAATTTATTTTACAATATAAATAATTTTTTTATTTTACAATATTTTTTTAATGTTTTTTTTTTAAGTAACATTAATAGGGCTAACAATTACCCATGAAAAAAATAATGGGATATACAACAAAAGAAAAGTACAGGTCTTTTTTACTCATAATATACAACAACAAAAAAAGTAGTGGGACATTAAATGAGTTGTCTACCACAAAAAAATTTCCAAAAGTTTTCCCACCATTACAAAGTTAAAAATTCAAATTCAAAATTCAAATTTAAACATAAATTCGAAATTTAGAAGAGTTGAGTTATTCCAATGTAGAATGCAGTGAGACATTGAATGAGTTGTCTGCCACAAAAAATTATTCACATAATTTTCCATTTAATTTATTTCCAAATTTCAAATTTATTTTACAATATAAATAATTTTGTTATTTTACAATATTTTTTAATGTTTTTGTTTTTTTATGCAACATTAATAGGGCTAACAATTACCCATGAAAAAATGGACAGATATAACATCATAGAAAAAAAGAAGAAATTTCATAATATACAATCATTAAATTATTGGAAGATTTGCAGCAACAGCTTCGTTCCACAACAACATACAAATTAGACCAAAGTGGGAGAGAGTTTTTATATTATCATTAACATTATGCCCTTAGCCATATGATGTCAAGAGTAATGGCTATTATTTATTAGTTAATCCCATCAAAACCCTTCCTTACTAAGAGCACAAACTCATTTTAAAGTTTCCATTGAATTAATTAAAAAAGAAAAAAGAAAAGCTAAAAAGAATAGAAAGATTCTACTTTCTATTATGTTTCCCCTGCCATCAAATTAGCCAAAGACCATCATCAAGACCCAGTTGAATGAAACCACGGACACCTCACATGACAGAGCAAGCATTTGGGTTCTCATCACTAAACATCTGTGGTGGGTGTGCATTAAACTGATAGTAGAACTGTTCTGGGTGGACTTGCCCATAGTTATAGCCGCCAATATTACCATACCCATAACCAAAGCCAGTTGCAGGTGCCAAATACTTCATCCTACCCTGCTCTATTCTTCCTCCTTCCTCCTCATTCTTCTCATTATTATCTCCTCCACCATCACCCTTCTTCTTCTTCTCGCCACCAGCACCTTCCTTGTCTTTCTTGGGAGGGACCACCTCAACCTTCCTCTTAAGCTTCTCCATCAAATTTGCCATAAGAGCTTTCATGTCCATTGTCCCCTTCATAGTTACAGTGTCCTTTTCCTTGTCTATGGCCATCTCTTGAACACCTACACCCCCGTTAAAATCACATTCTTGCCAAATTAGCCAAATCACAAAGAGAATTAAACCCCAAAAAAATCATTAAAAAAAAAAACACACACACCTTTGGTTTTCAACACAATCTTGCGAATCTTGTCCACACATCCCTGGCAATGCAGAGCCATTTTCAGAACAACAGACGACACATGTTACATTAATCCAACAAATAAATAAGAAGAAAAGAGGAAATAAATTTGTTTAAAAAAAAGGATCAGCATGTTGTGCATTAATTTAATAGAAACAAATTAGGGGGAAAAAAAGAAAAAAAAATACCAGGTTGGCAGTGGCAGAACATATGAAATAAATAATAGAACCGGTTTGGGGGACCAGTGATGAACCTCTTCGTCTTTAGTTTTTTGGTTTTCTGTTTGTTTCTCGGATTTGTTGTCGATCAGAATTGCTCCCTTCTGTTAGGAATGTGGCTTCCATACTCAAGAAGGGGGTGAATTGAGTATTACAAGATTTTCGCAAAAGCCCCCTTCTAGTTTATAAATAATTATTTCTACCAAACTTTGATATGTGGAAAACTAATCAATACATTCAAACAATCTACAATATATAATATGTCACAATTATAGAGCTTATTCTAGCACATACAATATATCAAAGAAGCAATTAAAGTGCTAGAAATAAAGAGTTTAGAGTTTAAAGAATTGCAAACACGATATATCCTGGTTCGGTCACCACCACTTGTGACCTACGTCCAGACTGAAGTCGCTCGATCAACTCTTTCACTAATGGTCAAGCTTCACGGGTGCTTGACAAACCGTTACAATCTTCCAAAATTTCGGGTTCTTAGATACCTTTCAATCTCCAAGTTTACGAGTACTTTGTAACCTTACAATTCACTCCAAATTTACTTAGGTATTCGGTGACCTTTCAAGTGTATAGGGTTCACTCCCCTAACTACTCAATAAACCAAAGGAATGTGTTTAATAATGGCTAAGTACTCTCAAAGTACAAATAACACAAGTTGAAGAACAATAGTTGTTGACACTCTTACTATAATAAAGCTCAAAGAGAATTTATGATCAAGAAGACAAGAATAATGCAAATAGGATGAGAATTAATGAGTAATAATGATTAAGAAGTGTGTCTTATCAATGGGAACAATAGTCTCTATTTATAGAGGGCCCCCATGACCTTTTTCCTACTCATTTTCGCAAACTAGCAGTTTTATAGCCGTTATTTTTGTCTTCTGTACAGTAGGTAATGGATTACCATCGAGTGGGTAATCGATTACCATGAAGGGTAATCGATTACCATTGTTGGGTAATCGATTACCAACCTGTTGACAGGTTGGATTTCTCCCTAAAATGGTTTTCTCTTGATTCATATCACTTTCAAATATTGTTTAAACATTTTATGAACATTGAAAATTGTATTTTCATGCTAGGAATGTATTTGAATGTCAATTGATGATTTAGTGCATGTATTTAAAAATACTTTGAGCTTCGTTCTTGTAAGGAATCAATTTACAAATAATCCTAAGTCCTATAGTATATTACTCTGAGTTTGGATTTAGAGACTTCTCTTGAAGCTTGAGTCTTAATCTTGTTTAGACTTCTTTTTTATGGTTGCACCTTGAAGCTTTCTTTCCATGCTTGTTTGTTATCATCAAAATCTTTGAACCTTTATGTTCTTTTCGTAGAGTGCATTGGTTCCACACCTTCACTGCGAGTTTGTATACGCTTCTGCATCAAACCTATTTAAAAAGATGTAACAAAATAAAAAAATCAATAATTTGAACCTGCGTCAACAAATGAAATGGTTTTGACATCATTTGCAAGAAAAAAAAAAAAAAAATACCCCAACAAAGATGACAACAACGAACCCTTTTTTTCTTCTTATGAATCAAAATCTATATATATGTTGAAAGTTAGGAACCTTCCAAGATCGAACCACCTTAACCTTAATCTTCCAGTCCTCCTTGGTAGGATCAAGATCCTTTATAAAATCATATGTTGAAAACATTTCGCTTGGGAGTACGAAAAAAGAAGGAAAGAAAGAAGCTATTCCTCTAAAAGAAACAGTCAGCAAGAATAAAATACCTGAGGGAAGAACGAAATATCAACTGCGACAGATCTTCAACATCATCGCCCAACGAATCAAAAGGGTTCATCGTCGCCATTTCCAAACACAACCACCGACACAAAACCTCAACTAAACCACTCGTTCCTCTTCTTAACAGATACACACACAAAATCTTAACTCCACAATGAATCCATCGTGTCAAAGAAACAAAAAAACACACACAAGACAGGGATTCACACTAACGAAGAGAACGAAAACGATGAAGGGTAAGTAAGGGAGTGAAGAAGAGTGAAAGGAAAAACCCTAGCAGCAATAAGAGAGAGAAAAGAGAAATAGACAGAACAATATTCCAGTCCAACGTTCCTTCTTATAGACGCAAGCAACAAAAGAAAAGCAGTCAGAGATTAAATCAGTTGTCTGCCACAAAGTATTATTCAATTCAATTTTTTTCCCAACATCACAATTTCAAATTCAAAATTGAAATCCAAATTTTGAAATCAAAACATAATTTGAATTTTAAAAAAGCTGATCATTCCAATGTAGAAATCAACATAAATTTGAATTTTAAAAGAGCTGATTTGAATTTTAAAAGAGCTGATCAATTCCAATGTAGAAGTGGGACAATGGGTCATTGAATGATGAGTAGGACAGTGAGGCATTTAATGAGGTGTCTGCCACCACAACTTAATTGAATAAAAACTTAATTTTTCATTTTTTTTTCGTTTTGTGATTGAAAATATAATTTTTTTAATATTTAATAATTCGAATTTGCCAAAGAAGGAAAGTTTTTAAGTGGGTAGTGGTGTGAACAGAAATTTGAGATGCAAGGAGGGAGTGACATATGGCAAAACTTTCCAACAAATGGGTTTCCTTTATATATATATAGATTACAAAAATGCTTTCATTTTCGTCTCAAAACAACGTCGTTTTGGACACACCAGAGATAACTTATCTCCATTGATGGGAGAAATCCTTTACCCATCATTATATTAGATTAATTGGCAATTTTTTATGGGTTCGCTTTTTCTAAAGTCAATGTAGATAACTTATCTACATTGAGCCCAAAACGACATTGTTTTGAGGCGAAAATCAGGCTTTTTGACCGTTTTGCCCCTAATTAATTAATTAATAACCAATTTGCCCCTGATCCAGAACTATGCACCAACCTGCCCCCTTTTAGTCGACTACCTTGCTTTTTTAGTCGAGCAAATGGTCAAAATTCAGAATGTGGACTACACCAAATTTAGTCGACTAAAAAATCATCTTGATCGACTAAATTTTTGGGATATTTAGTCGACTAAGGCACGATATTTAGTCGACTAAATATCGACGGATTTGTTTTTTAAAAACCCCCCATTCGGCAGAGGGGGTAGTAAACCTAATCGACTAAGGAGGCGGCCCAAACCCCAAATCCGCAAGAGCAGCTGAAGAACGCCCCAAACCCTTCCCTCAGGCGTGTGGATTGCACCAAAATACGGTCCAAATCGTGAAATCTCAAGGATATGTAAGGTTTCTTAACTTGCATTGTGTTATAGGTTTTGGAATTTTTTTTATTTGTTTGTTTTCCGAATTTTTGAACCTTAATCAAAGTGTTTGTTTTAGGTTTTGTAACCCTAATCTACTAAGGTTTATTTTTTTGCATTGTGTGAATTTTTTTGTTTGAAAAGTTTGTATGTGGGAAAAGTTTGCTTTTGGTTTACAACCCTTATGTTGCAAGTTTTCATTACCATCATGACATGTTTCATATAGTTAAATGCTGACATGTTTCATTGTAGGTACCCTAAACAAATGACGAGCCGCAGAAGACCAAGCGATGAGGGCAATGAGTCACTTGAGAGACGCACCAAGCATAGGCAAGAGCGGCCTTCTTCGTCAAGGCCACAAGACGAAGAGCCTGATACTGTTGATCTCCCGTATGGGTATCTGTTTGAGGACGACCCTGCCGTCCACGCTTCATTCGTACGTGACCATTTGAACCGGCCATTATGTGCTCCAAAATCTTTGGATACAGCCTTTTTTGATAAGGAGGGATTTGAAATTGTGGGGGTGTTGGAGGCGGCACATCTGAGGGTGTTGGCCGAGACCCTATGTCCGTATTCAGAGCTTATGGTGCGGGCCTTCTACCATAACCTCAGCTACGTACAGGGCGAGCTGAAGTCGAGGGTCTGTGGAATAGAGATCATCATGACAGCACCTGCATGGTTGGAGATACTCGGCTATGATTTTGACTCTTCTCAGACTGTGGCGTATGACGCTGATAGTGGTGTAGTACTTCCAGGATATGTACGAGAGGATGCCGTGCAGGAGCAGAGAAGAGTCCGTGGGGAACACTTGCACTATACGGTGGGGTTGCTTTCTGTGGAGTCCCGTATACTACACTATGTCCTCACCCACGTTCTGTTTCCGCGATCTTTTAATCATTCCAGGGTGTTGGAACATGACATTCCCATTATGTGGGCTATCCGACATGCCCAGATGGTGAACTGGAGGCACTATATCTGTTGGTTTATGTTTAAGGCCAAACATAAGGGTCATCTTCCATACGCCTGTCTGGTACAGAGGATATTGGTTCACTTTGGTGTTCCCATGGAGACTGAGCTGTTGAAGAAGACCACATGCTATAATTGCAAGTTCGGAAAGCGTCTATTGGAGCAGTGCAAGATTACTAAGAACACAAGATCGGGTGTGTGGGAGTTTAGTGGTATGCCCCAGGTTGAGGTTCCTTATGTTGCCCCAGATGACCACATTGTTGAGCCAGAGGCGGAGGATGAGGAGGAGGAGGAGGAGGATGTGGCTGAGGTTGAGGAGATAGCTGAACCTGAAGGTGGATTTTCACTGCGTGATGTCATGAAGGGCATAAATGCAATGACAAAGAAGATAGGAAAGACGGCGCTGGCACATAAAAAATGGAGAAAGAAAGGGAATGAAAGGTTTAGACATATACAGGGAAGGTTTAAGGGTGTGGAAGACAGGCTTGCTCGTCTGGAGCTTGCAAGAGGTGGGGAGGTAGCTAAGGCAGCAGGGGATGGGGGTCATGTGTCAGATGAGGACGACTCGGAGACGGACACAGACGGGGATGAGGAGTAGATTTAGGGTTTACATCATGTTATTATGTTTTGTTCATGTATTTCCTTTAAGTTGTTGATGTCCCGTAACTTTTTTTAATGAATGCAGAATTGTTATGTTTTTTGGATCTATGTTATGTTGTGTAATGAATTGAATTCCATTTCAATATTGTATAACTTATGAATGGAACCTTTTTAGCAATTTGATCATCACGGCACAAAACAATATTAAACAGGTCACATTCGTCCATAACACATCACAACAAATCAGTATATGTGTTTAAAAAGGCTACATCTTGTATTGTTAACCGTAGACAAAAGTTATGACAACATACGACTTCGTTTTAGGAATTTAATGTCCACATCAGATTTTTGACTCGGAAATTATGCTCCCTAAGTCACACTCCCTTAGTGGATCAATGTAGAGTGGAAACCAAGGGCAAAAAATATGTGTAATTCAGATTTGGGGTCCTAAACCAACAATTTAGTCGATTAACCTGTACTGGTAGATAGTTCTGGATCAGGGACAAATTGGTTATTAATTAATTAATGAGGGACAAAAGGGTCAAAAAGCCCGGAAATCAAGTTATTTTTGTAATAATAATTTATTTCATGGTTATAATAGTCTTTTTCATTATAATTTTTTAATTTTTCAACCCAAAATGACGTCGTTTTGGAAGCAAGATGAAATTGGTTCTAACTAGGAGTAAAATTGGCAAGTTAATTCGTTCAATTATTAACAATATTAAAAATAGACTTAGATGAAAAATAAGTCCACAACCTCCGTAATAATCTCTGACAATAAAAATGTCTATTGCTAGTTTCAAACTTTATATCTTCGAAAAATATATTACAAATAAAATATAAATATATAAAAAACAAGATGAAATTAGCTACAGTTACACGATAAAAATAATGCAGGTGGGAAGTAACATATGTATGGGTTTGATGGACTTATTTCACACGGATATAATGCTCAATTCATGAATAATTTAAGAGACCCAATAGTTAAGATTTAAAGATTAAGAAAACATGTTTATCCCACAACAATGTTATCCCGCAAACATATACCTACACAATATCAACAGCTCATAACTCTACAACTACCTTAATAGCCAATAGTTATGAGATAGACACTTGGTTCTAAGTTCTAACTACACCTATAATATGCAAGAGCCACTTCTATCCATTACTAAAACAACATACAAGTGTACAACCAATCACTATTGAGCCCTGTATAATGAAAGCTTGAAGTCCAAGTATGATCAATCCATCTTGACTTAAGCTCTTAGTTCATATACTGAGTCCGCTTGGATGAACACTTTTTTTTTCTTTTAAAGCTATTTTTTTAAAGAAAAAAAAAACTTTTCAAAAAAAGTATGTTTGGATGCTTGCTTTTAAAAAAGCAGAATGCATAAAAAAAGCCAAAAATAATTTTTGAAGCTAAAAATTTTAGCTTTAAGAAAAATAGAAGTCAAATCAAATATTTTTTTCTAAAATCTAAATAACTTTAGCTTTTATAAAAAAAACATTTTTAAAGTAACAAGACATAAAAAGAACTTTTTTGTGAAAAATCCTAACGGGCTCTAAACTTGAGCATCAAAATATTTTATAGGTACCCCTTGTCCCCGTCAATCAAAACTAGGTTTATTCAAGGTCTGGTTTGGACCGATTTTGAAAGCAAAAATTATCTGATTCAATACATTCGGTTTGATTATGTAATTATCCATTCGATTTGAATTTTTTTTTAAATCCAATCTAATTTTATTCGATTTGAATTGGATCGGTTTTTGATTTTTTTAAAAACTTAAAATTTATATGATGATTTTTGTGCAAATAACATATCTTTTGTATGTATTGACTTTGTAAACTTTGTACGATGATTATTGTGTAATATAAAAGCACCAGTAAACATTAATTTAATAATTTTCAATATAGTACAACAAAAAGTTGAATTATCATCTTTTATCTCCAACAAAAATTTTACAATATGGTTGCTTGAGACACAAAGTAACCCAAATTTTATTATATAGAGAAGTTGTTGTGCAACAATAATCCATGCAATAAAAATATATGATGTATCTTACAAAAAAAAAAGCATAACATAGATCAAACACAATCCACTTTCTCCAACATGATGGGTTAATGGGTCTTGGGTTTAGAATTTTGCTATATGATTTTTGAGTTATGATGGAAATGCCCAAGTAGGTAAAGAGTAAGGTTGCAGACTACATCTTTACCCAAAATAAAAATAAAAAGGTTGCAGACTACATCGATTTGGATTGGACTGGTTTTCACCAACCAAACCGTGATGAAAACTAATTCAATTCAATTAAATTTTTCAGTTTTTTTTTTTCAGTTTTCAATTTTACGATTTTCGATTAATTCAGTTATGATTTTTTCGATTCAGTCACCATAATTTAAATTAGTTTGGATTGATTGTTGAACATCCTTAATCAAAACAAACAACGAGCATCATATTCTCCATGCTATAGAAGATTGCGCTAAAACATTCTGGGAAGGTTTCACCAAACAATACTCACTCTAAAGAAGACCCAAATAACAACTGGACCAAACTCAACTATATAGGTCTAACCTAATCTTTATTGGACTCATAAGGGTAAATATATTCCTGTAACAAAAATTGTTTTTAGACATATATAATTTCATTTAAAAAATTATAATTTTATTGTTCGACATTCTTCAGTAATTTTGACTTTTTTCCTGTGAATTTAAGTGGAGTTGAGTTAACGTCACTCTCAAAGTTTGAGGCTCAAACAATTCATATTTATTATAATTATGACTTTAAAGTTAAAACAATATGTCATATTGATAAGACCTCTAAAGCACGGACACGCCTTTTTTGAGAAAAAATGTGTGTCCGACACGTGTCGGACTCGGACACGTTCGAACACGCGTCCGACACGTGGTTGACTTTTTAGGACACGTTGACTAATGGGACACGCGAATTTGACCGTATCCGACACGCGATCAACGTTTTGGGACACGTTTTGCATTTTTTTTTTTTGTAAAAATAAAAATAAAATTACAAATAAAAAGGAGCAGAAGCAGAGGAGAAGAGACTAGTTGGATTCACGAGACTAGTTGGATTCACGACGCTGGTCGCCGAAAGTTTTCAATTGCATCTCCGCACCCACCTTAGGGTTGACCTGCATTGCACGATGTAAGAGGGTCTTTCTGCAAATCCTTGAGCTCCTTCAAGATGCGTTTTGATGCCATACTCAAACTTCAAAGGGGATTCAGATACGGAGGATTTGGAAAACGAAACAGCGAAAACCAGAGAGAGGGGTTGTAAAATTGAAGATGAATGGACAGAGAAATTATAGGGAAGGGAAAGTGAAAGAGTGAGAGAAAGAGGGTTGCGTTGGTTTCTAGAATGTTCCGTATCCGTATTCTATGTTTGCATAGGATCAAAACGTTTGAAAGGAGCAGAGAATAATAATACCCACACGGAAAAGTGAACATGGAAAATGTCCACATAATGATGTTATTAACTTATAAGGAAAAACAAAATAATAAATCATTCAAATAAATATATTTTTTTAAGTTATACTCTAAGATTTGGTTGATGTTATTTATATTTAATGATTTTTATTTACTGGATATGTGAGTCATCAGTCATCACGTACAAGCAAATCATTGATCTGATTTAATGTAAGATTGTATAAGAATATATTACAAAAAAAAAAAGATTGTATAAGAATAACATGCCACTTTTTTAAATTCATTTGCAAAATATTATTCATCAATATAAATTAATTTTTTTTAATATTAAGATTTTTAAAATCAATTATTTCAACTTTGATTTTTTTAATATTTATATTATGAAATTTAAATATTTAATTGATTATATGACTTATTATGGATTCTCATATGTATTAAATATAAATTATATTATATATTAAAAATTTTATTTAATATCAAAACGTGTCCCAACATGTCCAGATATGACATTTTTTAGAATTAACGTGTCGGCGTGTCGTGTCGTATCCCGTGTCCCGTGTTCGTGTCCGTGCATCGTAGAATAAGACCGATACGATATTGAACTTTTAAGGTGCCCACAAAAACCCATTATTGTTATGTTGCGTAAGCTGTTGCATAAAGGAGATAGTAACTCAACAATTTTTAACGATCTTATATTACTTTTTTCCACGTGTTCAGGGTGGCCTCATATATTTTTTAACTGGATGAAAGCGAAATAGGCGGGGCGGAGCAGCCCACTCTCCACCTCTACTCATAACCACATATATTTCCAAATTCCCGCAACTGGACAAATAATAAATGCAGTAGTTGCAGAATTTAAAAACAAGAAATAAAATAAAAATTAAAAATATTTTTTTTCTAGTTTAAATCGTATCGGCTTTTTCATTAACTTTGTGTTCTCCACCAATCATGAGTTTCATTTGATCAATAGAAACAAAATGGTTATGCTAGCAAGACAGAACCTGTGTGCTGTACTGACACTGTTTTGTTGTGTTCATTTTCATGTCCAAAGTTCCCATGAAGTTGAAGATGGAATCACAGGATCTCAATTCCCAGAAAACTTCCTCTTCGGAACAAGCACTTCCTCTTACCAAGTACTCGTTTACTCTCCTGCTTTTTCTGCTTTCAAATACGTTATAGTTAGTTATGTTTTTTCCCTGAAATACATAACATTTATTGGTCTTGTAAAGAACCAATTCTCCAAAAGCTTAAGTTGTCAGGTGAGGTTACATTAATGATTTTATATATCTCTAGCAGGTCTCATAGTTTTTTTTTTTTTTTGGGTTACGAAGTATGTAAAATTTGATGTTTCTGTTGATGGGATTTTACTCTTTTTTTCTCAAAAAAAAAAAAAAAAAGATTGAAGGTGCACCTCTTGAAGATGGTAAGGGCTTGAGCAACTGGGATATTTTTAGTCACACACCAGGTATATGGTTTTTGGTAATCTCATTTCATTCTATGTTGTGTTTGCTAATCATACAGTTATGGAATTATAATGATGAACATGAATAATCACTATGTAATTTGATAAATTTTCAGGAAAGGTAACAAATGATGAGAATGGTGACATAGCAGATGATCATTATCATCGCTATTTGGTAATGATAATCTGATATCAGCTTCATAATTTACTATACTTTGACTATTATCATTGACTCTCTTAACCATAGTCCTTGACGCTTGACAGGAAGACATCAAGTTGATGTCCTCTCTTGGTGTAAATGTATATCGATTTTCTATTTCATGGGCGAGGATTTTACCTAGTAAGTTTTTAACAGTTCACATAATTAGTTCCCATCAGGTTTTAAATTGCAGTTGGTTGTGACTATAGTAGGCCAATTGTGGCCGATTCGGTTCACAATTAGTGCTGTGCAAAATAATCGAATCGAACTGAACTGAATCGGAATACCGATTCGGAACTGGTTTAAACCTTGATCGGTTCAGTTTAGCCAAAAAAAAAAAAAAAACTTGCCTGCAATTTAAAACCTTTCTTATTTTTTCAAATTATCTTCTCAATTTGATCTTCATGGGCTGTAACAGGAGGGATATATGGGGACATAAATCCAAGTGGGATAATGTTCTACAACAAGATTATAGACAATCTGCTGCTTAGAGGTGAAGTAACATGTCCATTTGGTTCTTTGATTCCAAACTTATAATTTGTTTTGACTTTTGTTTGAGTGATAATATTCAATCATTGTATGTGTCAAAATATAAGAACTAACTCTCCAAGAAATTTAAAACTAAAGCTGTTTGCAAACTCATAAATAGTTTTATAATTTATACTATATTTCTAGCGGTATGACATTGTTCTTATCTGTACCTAAATCTGGACATGGCGTGCTTAATTCAGGGATTGAGCCATTGGTGACAATTCACCATAATGATTTGCCACAAGAACTGGAAGAAAGATATGGGGGTTGGCTTAGTCCTCTAATACAGTAAATCCGCTGCTCTCATTTTTTTTTTAGTCCTATATTATATAATAATGCTAAAGAATTTGGAGGTTTGTCACTTCGTCATTGAATTGTCCTGCATAATCGTAGTCCAAAAGTTTAATCCAAGAGTACTGTGAGATTTTGATAAAAGTATACTTCCTTTGTTGTAGGAGAGATTTTGTTCATTTTGCTGAACTTTGTTTTAAGAGCTTTGGAGACAGGGTTAAGTACTGGACCACTATCAATGAACCGAACCTAATTGCAGATATGGCCTTTATGAGGGGAACATATCCCCCCGGTCACTGTTCCCCCCCTTTTGGAAATTGTTGTAATGGTAACTCTGATCTTGAGCCTCTTGTTGTCATGCACAATATGTTACTCTCACATGCCAAGGCTGTTGAATCATACCGCAAGAACTTTCAGGTAACCAAAAATGACCCTAAACTGAAGGCATTGTTGGCACATTTTTAAGGTTAGAGGAAAGAGGATTAAGGTCAGGATGGGTGTTTAATTAGTAAGTTCTGATGCTAATCCAGGCAAAGCAAGGTGGAACTATTGGCATTGTTGCCCATACCTTCATGTATGAACCTCTTAGAGATGAAGAATGTGATAGACAAGCTGTGGATAGGGCCTTGGCTTTTGTCATAGCATGGTAAGTTGTTAAGAAGTACCATTTTCTTTTCTTAGTTGATACCTGCAATAATCAAAGGAAATAGGAGAAGAGTTTTGCTTATGAGTTATGACAATCATGCCTACATAAACTATTATGTATATTATTAATGAAAAATTTATCATGCTCATTTGGTGACAAGAAGGATGTTAGATCCCTTGGTTTTTGGTGAGTACCCTGCTGAGATGCGCTCTATTCTTGGGAGCCAGATGCCAAGGTTCTCTCCTAAGGAGAAGAGTCTTGTAAAAGGGAGCTTGGACTTTATTGGCATCAATCACTATGGTGCTCTCTATGTCAAGGACTGCTCCCTCTCTGCTTGTCCTCTTGGAGCAGATCATCCAATTCGAGGCTTTGTGGAAACAACCGGAATGAGAGATGGCATTCCAATTGGTGATCAGGTACCCTTATGTAGTGCTTATGCTGTTATATTGGTTACTGGTTACTCAAATGTTTGATAAAGGATTAGGTATTGAACATAATATTTGATTTAATTTCTTTTGTTTTAAGCAGACAGGAATGCCAAGATTCTTTGTGGTTCCAAGTGGCATGGAGAAACTTGTGGACTACATTAAGATGAGATACCATAACATGCCCATGTATATCACAGAAAATGGTGCGTGAATACTGAATACATTATTAGATGGTCTCATTTTCACCCATTGTTTACTCCCTGCATTGTTGCTTGATCAATTGATAAGAAAAAATAATAACCCGGATCCTATTTACACATTAAATGCACGTAATCACTTAAAATGATGATCTTAATACCAAACACAGGCACCCATGACCACCATTATTAGGACTCGCCTTACACTCCATTCTTACACTACTATATAAAGCACTTCATGCAAAGGGTTGAATCTTTTGACATCAGAAATGCTCATCCCATGCCCCCATTTTCCTCTCATTCTTCCTCACGCAGCTCTTTCCCATTCAGGCTTTACCAGAATACTTAAAGAACAAATTCAGAAACAAAGAACAACTGACAATATTCTAAGCTCGCATTTTGTTAGTAAGTTTGGGTTTTAAGGTGAGTTATGGATGGCAACCCAAAATTTGTTTCAGGATATTCTTCACCTCCCAACCCGGATGTGACAATGCATGATTTACTACAAGATTTTCAACGAATAGAGTATCATAAAGCATACCTTGCAGCTCTACTTAGAGCCATAAGGTGAGTGATGAGGACTAATATATGCAGTTACTTACTTTCATAGTTGACAAAAGTCTAAAGTTTTTTATTATGTGCAGGAAAGGTGCAGATGTAAGAGGATATTTTGTGTGGTCATTGTTGGACAACTTTGAATGGGCAAGTGGCTATGGCGTAAGATTTGGACTTTATTATGTGGATAAACATACTCTTGAACGAATTCCAAAACTTTCTGCTCAGTGGTTTTCTAGTTTCCTCAACAACACTACTCACATGAACTTAGAAGACCGGAGTGACCAATATCTTCGAAGCAAAGATGTGATAACTACTGGTTTCAAAGTTGTTTGAACAGGCTGAAATGTATTCATGCTAGTCCAAAATTCCATGCAATGATGCATGTGAAAAAACAATTGTGGAGACAAAGTTTTATATATTATGCCAGTGTTCGTCCACAAAAGAATAAAATTGTCAGGACAATGATTATTTATTTACTCTAAAAAATAAATGTTTAATTTAATAGTACTTAAAAGATATTGGTTAATCTTTTCTATATAAATTTTTTTTCCTCTTTGTGTACAACATTTCTTATTTTTCAACCGACATTATTATCCTCACACGTTCAATTTTTTAGGTTACTTTTTGACTTTTGTTGAAAGTCATAGCAAAAGAAACAATCAACGAAAATTGTTTATTTATTTTTTAAACCTTAATTGAATCCTTAATCCCAGGGTATTGAGTTTAACTGGGGAATAAAAACTTATCTCCAGTATTATTTCTTATAAAGTTCTAGTACGTATTCTTTGTATAATTTTACAACAATGACATCATAACTATTAGTTAAAATATAAAAATGTTTCACAATAAAATTGAGCACAACTTTTGTGTAACCCATAATTCACTCAGAGTGTACATGACAACTATTCTGTTCCTTGATACTGTTTCTGAAAAGAAATAATTTTTTTTTTCTATTTTTGTGCCTTAAAATAGTTTCTAAGAAAAAAAATATTTGAAACGTTCTATTTTTATTCCAAGAATAAGAATTACGTTTGATAACACAACAAATAATATAATAAAAAATAATTCTTATTAAGCATAAAAACTTTTTGGATCATCACTTTCCTTTTCATATGGTGTGGTGGTGGCGGTGGCGGCGGCGGCAGCGGTGGCATGGTGGTAGTGGTGGCGGTGGCGTGGTGATAGTAGTGATGATGACAGTGGCTATAATGATGGTAGTGGTGGTGGTGAGTGACTGTGGCGGTGGTGGTAATGACAGTGATTGTGGTGGTGGTATTGGTGATGACAGCAATGGCTGCGACGATCATGGTGGTGGTTGGTGACTGTGGTCGTAGTGGTGGCGATAATGGTGGCATGTTTGTGGTGGCGATGATATGGTGATGGTAATGGTGCTGATGACATGTTAATGGTGGTGACGATAATGGCTACGACGATGGTAGTGATAGTTGGTGACAATGGTGATGATAGTGGTGTCGTGGTGGTGGCAGTGGCGGCGGTGGTGATGGCATGGTGATGGCGGTGACGGCAATGGCTGCGATGATGGTGGTGGTGGTTGGTGGCGGTGCAGGTGATGATGGTGGCGGTGGCATAGTGGTTGCGGTGGCATAGTGGTAGCGATGGTGGCGATGGGTTGAAGTCGTGGTGATGGTGGCGGTGACATCGTGGTGGTGGCAATGACAACAACGATGGTGGTGGTGGTCATGTCAGAATGATGGTGGTGATGATGATGGTAGTGGTAGAGTGTGATTGAGAGAGACAAATGTTTCTCATTTTGTGCCTGGGAACAAAAAAATAGAAATTTTTTTATTCTTTTTTTGTTCCCAGCACAAAAATTAAACCGATTCATCCTGGGAACAAAAAATAAACCGGTTTTACCAAATGAAATTTCTATTTATTTATGTTCTTAGGAATAGAAATTAAAAAAAAAAAATTATTCCGAAAAAGTTGTCATGCACACTTCATCATAAAGTTGCATAGTTATAATAACATATAATCAAACTATTTTATTAATATAGGGATGGCACACATGATTACAAGAGTGTGGCACAAGGAACTGGTTTCACATTTCATATGCTTCAAATAGTTCATTGTTACTAGAGGCGAAATCTTTTATCATTTAGTTTTGGGTCGCCCTATTTCAATTTTCATAGTGTAATAACATAAATCTATATATATATATATATATATATATATATATATATATATATATATAAAGGAGAGTTCAATGTTGGAAACTTCGCTGATGTGTCAATCCCTGCTTAATTCTGAAAATTGTGTTCACACTACATGTCATATAAAAACTTTCCTTCTTTGGTAAATTGGAAAAAGAATTTCTTTTAAAAATCGATATTTTTTTTTAAATCGAAAAATAAATGACCATTTGTAGTGGCAGACAAGGCATTGAATGTCCCACTGCCCATCACATTGGAATTGGTCAACTGATTTAATTGCTTTTTACATTGGAATTATTACTCAGCTGATTTAAAATTCGAATTTTGAAATGATTTGAAATTTTGAATTTAAAATATGGATGGTGGGAAGAGATTTGGAAAGTTTTGGGTGGCAGACAACTCATTTAATTTCTGATTGCTTTTCTTTTGTTGCTTGCGTCGTCTATAAAAAGAAACGTTGTGCATTGTTATTTCTTTCTTCTGTCATGTATACAATTTTTGCTAATTGTTTCCTTGAGAAAAATAGCTTCTTTCTTTTCTTCTTTTCGTCTTCCAAAACAAGGAAGTTGAGGTTGTCTGAGAAGAAAAGGGGAGAGTTGTGTGAATTGCCCAAAGAGACGAACACTAACAGCAAATCAAGGAAGAACCTCCGATTCATTTACGTCATGGGAGAATGCCTCCGATTCGTTTCTTCGTTTGTGTTTGTAGGTATTGTTGTTTATACTCTTTTGTTCGTTTTGTGTTTTTTATATACTGATTCTCTTTTTTTTTCGTTTTTCAGGGCGAAAGGTTTCTTGCTACAGTGAATAGTTTTTGCCCGTGTTTTCTTTCTTCGTTCATTTTTGTACCTGATGTTGTATTTTTTTTTTGGTTCCTTTATAAACAAATGTTCTTAATTCATTTTCATTTTTTGTATACTAATTTTCTTTTGATCGTTTTGTGTTTTGTATACTGATTCTCTTTTTTTGTTTTTTCAGGGCGGAAGGTTTCTTGCTACTGTGAATAGTTTTTGCTTGTGTTTTGTTTCTTCGTTCGTTTTTGTAGCTGATGTTGTATTTTTTTTGTTCCTTTATAAACAAATGAAAGTTCATTTTTTTTTGCTAATATATTTTTATAATTCAACTGAAATTTTATCTTTCTTCTTTCATAATTAAATTATTAAATCTGATTAACGACACAAATCTTTGCAAAAAAAATAATTATTTATTGTTATTTTATAAATCTGATTGTAGTAAATGAAAGTTTATTTCTGAGATAAAATATAAAAACCTAGACACAACTATAAAAATCTTTTTTTGTGGATAAGTATAAATTATCTAATAATATAATTTGAAATAAGTTAACTAATATTAATAAGGTAAAAATATTTATTCTTTAAAGGAAATAGAGTTATTTCATTTTAAGTGTGAAAAAGACACAACTTAAAAAAATGTATTTAAAATTTAAATTTTTAAAAAATACTTACTTTCTTTTCTGTTATGTTCATTGTTTGTGTTTTTTTCTCACTTGAAATAATATAATTCTATGTCATTTAAAAGGACAAACATTAAATCCTATTAATAATTAGATAAAATAAATTAAAGAAATCAAAATAAAGATAAAATAAACTAATTCGGATGATAAAATTTGAATTCTGTTAGTTTGATTATGACAGTTTTTGTAAATACACCCTTTGATTGAGTGGCGATACCTCTAGAATTTACGAAGAAAAAAAGACTATTTTATTTACACATACTTTCATTACAAAAATTTTCTGCCATTTTTATAAGTAATAAAATAGAAAAAAACACATTTTAAATACACATTCTCTCTCGTTCTTTTTTCTTTTATTAGGTATAACTGTATAAGATAAGGTATACAAAATTCTTTTTTCTTATTCCAAACATTTAAATTTCATTTTAAAATTATTCGAAACAGTTTTTATTAATTAAAAATATTATCAAAGTAGGTGAGTAAGCATGACTTTATAATAAAAACAACTTTCAACCAAAATACTCTAACTCTCAAATATATATTTTTTTTAATTTTTTCAACTGAAAAATCTTATTTAAATACATAATAAACAGATAATAAAAATATTCTAGGTCTTTTCTTCGGCTTTTTGTTTTCTTTTTCTTAATTGGAGCTCCAAGCCCACTAACTTAACTTTGGGCCCCCGGTTTAGGAAATATTTTTTATGGTCCAGGACCACCGAATAATCTGATGCTCCTTCTCACATCATCAATTTTTTTTCCTTTTTACCCTTGTAATATTTTCTCTTTTCCAATTTTATCCCTCCATTTACACTAAGGGACCACCAGAAAAATGGTGGTCCGGTCCACTATAAATAATCTCCCCGGTTTAATCCTTTTCGCAAAAAGAAAAGAAAAAAAGAAAAAAAATGTTCCCACCGTTTGTCTCTGGAGAACGAAACCCTAATCCTTAACTATGTGTATTTGGCGGTACCCCCTCTTTCAGTTGTAACAAACCAAGTTGAACCTCACCACCACTCTCTCTATATCTCTGTGTTTCTCTCTCTATCTCTGCAATGACGAAGAAGAAGGAGAGGAAAGTGAACGTCTCGGGAAAACCGAAGCATTCACTCGACGTGAATCGCAGCAATGACACGAAGAAGGAGTCACGCTTCGCCGCCACCGTGCGCCGCCTCAAGATGTACAACACGAGGCCAGTTCGCGACCGCAAGGGAAAGGTTTTGACCAACGAATATCAGTCTAAGGAGCTTCCCAGCATGCGAATCCAACCTGATCGCCGTTGGTTCGGTTAGTTTCAATTTCACAACAAAAAATAAAATAATAATCACGATTCTTCAACTTGAACTTGTGAATTTTATGGTTTTGACAATTTTATTTTATTTTAATTTTTCGGTTTCATGATCTGTAGGGAACACTCGGGTTGTGAATCAGAAAGAGCTTGAGTTCTTCAGAGAAGAGCTGCAGAGCTGCATGTCGAGTAATTACAATGTTATCTGAAGGAGAAGAAATTGCCATTGTCACTCCTCAACGACAACCAAAAGGTTTATTTATTAAGCTGTTTATTTGTTGCAAGGATTTTGTTTTGTTTGTTAATAGTTATGTGCTTTCTTTTATTATTATTTTTTTTGAAATTTACTAATTTTGTGGATTTCGAATGTAGCAATCAAGGGTTCACCTTCTTGATAGACAGCCTTTTGAGGATGCATTTGGACCTAAGACTAAAAGAAAGTGCCCCAACCTCTTGGCGGCTGATTATGAGTCCTTAGTTAAGAAAGCTGATGGTTCTCAAGGTAAAACTGCTTCTCTATAATTTAGTACTCCCCTTTTG